ACTAAGATAGTATGTGGCCAAAGTAATATAAACACCAAGGTCAAATTGCTATGCTAATGAGAAGATGGTAGCGATGAAGAAATAACCAATGCTGTATTTCATCAGCAGCTTCCAGCAGCAGCACTTGCAAGAAGACTTCCCTCAGCAGCACTAACACAAGGCGGTTGCACTGAGCTGTCACTGATGCAGCTCCCTTTGCCATTACAATTCCACTCACACACTTGGAATTGCAAGAATTAAACTAAAGCAATCAGTTGGTAAGAAAGACTGATTCAAGGACACAGTCTAACTAGACTTCAACCTCACTGAGCTATGATGTTATCCCAAATCAGAGCCAAACTGGAGCCTGCCAAAGCAACTACCCATCTCAAAGAAAATCCTAATAACAACTGTAAGATTCAGGAAACACAAATAATTGCATCTGTGTATAGGCTTTTCACACCCTCAGATTTAATTGCACAGCCAGAGAATTAGCCAGGCTACATTTCAGTAGTTTTCAACACTAAAACTGAACTGGTTTGCACCAACTGTAGTAAACTGGTCTACCTGAAATACATGGTATGGCTTCAAATACTTCTCATGTACACTTCTTGTACTGCAGCTGAAATTAAGGATAGTGTTGAAGTTATACTCTGTCACTTCGCTACCATTAAACTTGACCTCAATAACAGTTGTGAACCTATCACACTTACTTCAAAGTAGGCATGTGTTTGCTTAAACAAGATGTTAATTCCAAGGGCTTTGTTCTAGACAGGGTTTTCTACCGCTGAATTAGTTCAGCTGTAGAAAAACTCTGCTTGACAGACTGGAGACTCATAATCTTCAGAAAACTGCCCTTTAATGATTGTGGCGCCTGTCTGTGGCTCAGAAGTCCCCTTTCTTAATTAGACATTTACCAGAAACTGGCAATTGAAATTTTCCTCTTCACTTGACGATGAATAATGCAATGCCTCTGTTAGGATTTCTCTGGAAGATACTCTCTATTGCATATTAGAGGAATATTTTGATCATTAAAGGAACATAAACAAGATGCGATAAGAAATAAACAAAATGCCTTATGGTCACCTGTGATATAAGTGGTGAATTTGACCTACTGTATACCTGAAATGTCTTACTGCTTCATGATCTTCCTGAAATCTACTGTGCCTTTCTTCGTTACATTTAGCAGATAAAATGCTTAACCACAGCGTAACTCTATTTGGATTTTTTTTATTATTATTAAGTGATAAATGATTGAAAAGATGGGTTTTGTAATGCTTTACACTTATACATCTGTTTAATGCTATGAAGCAGGTGGCAAGAAACCACAAGGGAGAAGGCACCAGGGACAATCATTCTGTGCCTTACTGTCACATGTCAGGCATGGGCTGGGAAAGAGGAAACATATGGAGTAATGAAAAAGTGCAGATTTAATAAATGTGTTTTGTTGTGTTCATTAATAATGAAACAAAAGGTCACGCTTCATTTTCACTAGGACAGTACAACTCTACATTTTTACAGAAATGGCACTGTTCATCTCAGAGACTGGAGGTAGGGCCAGATAGTCCTCCTGAAGCAGTTGGCCATGTGGGCATTTGACAGGAGGGTGGCAGAATAAATAATGTAAAATATGCTTATATCTCACTGTCTATGTACATACACAACCCTTCAATAGTCTCCAAAGAGTGACTGTTAAAGCAAGGTGATAACTCTGGACACGGCCTTGAAGGTGATGGGACACATTCTCCACTGGCACAGCACCTGGGCACTTTCTGATTTCATTTCTAATTGCTGAAATTTCACCTGGCTTTACCCCGAGAATCCACCTTAGCTGTGTTCAGTAGCATTTTCCAAACAGCACCATCAGACTCCTTGGGAACACTTGAGAAATAAATGCTTCACAGAAAGGCAATCTGTACAGTCAGGCTAAAGCAATACTTGGCTTACGCATTTTCATGGATCATGTTCATTTACACTGACTGAATTAGACCTAACAGCACCATTTCTGAGAAATTTAGCATCCAAACATTAAAAGATCACAGCTGATAAGAAAGCCTTGTTGAATTTAGCAGACTTGCTTGCAGAGTGCAACAGAAGCCCTTGTACTTGACCTTACTGTAGCTGTATAACTGCTATCAGTTTTAACCAAATAAAGGAAAATTGAAGTGGTTTTCTTCCATACACCAGTAGCACACTACTGAAGTTCTAGTTCATGGTCAAGGAGCATGGACTGATAGGGCAGAGATGAGTTGGTGTTGGTGGGAATTAAACCAACACTACAGCTTTGGAGGTTTGTGTTCCTCAGCTGAACGCACGGCCCTGCTTCTGGAGGCAGATGGCACAGGATCACAAAGCCTGCCCTGCAGACACCAGGTAGCCACTGAAAGAGCAGGTCCCCAGCTGCCCCCAGATGGATCTGTCACTCCTGCTGGGTTCCCAGAGAGCAGCACTGGGCATTTTTTCCATCTCATCCTGGCAGCAACTTCCATAACAAGATAAGCAACCTCAAGACAGCTCACTTCAGAGCTGTCCTCAAGTGCTCTTTGCCCTGTCTTACATCAGTGGGACATTCATGGAAGAAGGGAGGGGAGTGGGAGGATGGACTCAGGAGCTCCAAACGGTGAGCAGCAGTGCAGAAATGGGAACACTGACAATTTGCATATCCTCAAGCAGGGTGCCTTTAATTTCAGTGTGCAGGTTTTGGTTCTGGTGTACCCTGGTGACTTTGGGTAAAACACTGACTTGTTTTCTGTTTCATCTTCTCATCTGTACAATACTCCTTGTGACTTGTTGCTCAGAGCAGGCTCTCCAGAGGAGGCACTGCCTTTTGTTCTGTGCTTGCATATTCTGATACACTACTAAAATAATATTAGTGTTATTTTAAGTCCTAAGCTATATGCCAGCTTGCACTACTCTGATTTTAATTGAGGTATTTTGATTGCTACACTGTCAGCTGTTTTAGCAGTAGATGCTGGGAGGACATAGCAGGGGAAAGGTTCCTCCGAGTACACCTTACACCCTTCTCAAAGCACCCTCTACATGCCACTGTTGGGAAAAAGTTACTGGTCTACAGGGACTTTTGACCCGATTCAGTAACACAGCTGGTTTCTTACATTACTCAGATATAGCTGAAATCTGTGCAACATTATAATGTAATCAGATTAATGCTCTGATGCTATTTACTATCATTGTGCAATATACTTGGTGTACACCCATGTTGACTGCAGTTAGGTTGTGCTGGAATGACAGGAGACAACTCGGGACATCAGTCAGACACCTCTGGGTCTTGTACCTGCGTGGGGACCCTTGTTATGGGAGTCTGTATTTTAAAGGTAAATACAGAAGCACACATTATTTTTTTTAAAGGAAATTCTCATTCACAAAGAAGGTGCAATTCGCTGTACTAGACAAGTACACAGATGTAGGTTTTGCCTCCTGTGAAAGCACGCTTGAGGAGGGGGGGCACAGCATTTCCAAGTAACATCACTGCACAAGCACAGGTCTTTGAACATGTGCCCATGTTTGCCACAACCATGGGCAAATCTAGAAAATGAGCAAAAGTGGGTAAGTGCAGTCACTGAATTCTGCTCATTAGCAAGTCATGAGTATTTACGGCTGTCATTTGTCCCTCGCTCATAAATATAATTGATTGGCTCCCTCTGGGTCATGCGACTGAGACGGCAGAAAGAAGCATTAAAAAGGGAGGGCCTGTAAACTTGTCTCCATATTTTATATTGACCAGGGATATTATGCCATGAACAGATAGGCAAAAGGTTACATTTTCAATGGTGACAGGATACCTTAAAGTATTTCTGTCCTCATATAAGATCATTTAACAAGATAAATGCATATGCAAGAAAAAAGGCTCCAAGTAAACTTTGTATCTAGAGAAAGTCCAAGAGTTTCAGACACCTCAGCATTGGTCTAAAACTGTTTTCACTGAAGCAACTGATAAAATTTCTCTGTGGTTTTATTTTGAGTTGTGATACATAGGAGCAGAGCCTGAGAATCCAACCAGAAGCGGGCACAGTTCAGTATGCAGTGTGCAGTACTGGTGCTGTAACATTAATTCGTAAATGTGCTAATTACTAACAGAGTAAAAATCCCTTTATTTCAGTGGTCTTTTTCCCAAGATTTTCCATTTGGAAGTTAACAGTTTAGAGAACAAATGTATTCTGTACTCTTAAGTAAAGAATTTTTCTTTGGTCTTAACTATTTTGTCATGGATGGCTCACAAGGCAGAAGGGAAATGCACACACATGGAAACAGTCTATTACTAAACAATTCTTTTTTTTTTTTTTTTTTTTTGAAAAAGAGAGACTGTCCATATGAGGGAAATAAAAGAGGGATTAGATGGAGCCGCAAGAAGAATTAACCTATATTTTGAACCTTCCTTTTCCAATTCCTGAGGAAAAGGAGGTTTAGAAAATAGGCTTTTTGCTGCTCTAGTTTCTATAAAATCTTTAAAGTTCTGCTGCTTTTTCTTAATATGCAGACTTCTTAAGAACTTGCTAAAGAAGTGAATCAGACCATAAAGAGCGTTTTAAATGGAACACAGAAGTCTGTAGCCTAACAGAACTAGCATTTTTATAGTGCACTTCCCAAGGATTTGCATGAATTTCTACAAAGAAAAGCTGCTTACTCATTCTTAAGCAAAAAAGTTTTCCTCTGTGACATTTGTGAAGCAGAGAACCAACAAGCTGTACAATGCATACAAATGTTTGCCATTCATGACAGTAAACCCATAAAAATCGGTCTAACTTGATGGATGGAAAAATACTTTTCTTTTACAGAAACCTTTCTAGTTTCTGTAGTATAACTCCAAAACCCAACAAACATTACATATTATTTAAGCAAAAATGAGGTACAAAATAATTATAAGTATGCCAGTAAACTCTTATACTAAGGGATTTTCTGGCTTTCTCACCTTTCAGTTAACTTCTACTTGCAAACATCCAGAGCTACTTCATCTATGCTATTGTAACTGGTATTTGTACATGCTTGAGTGCAAGGCTCCTTACCTGCTTTCATTCAGTGTTCAGCCTCATTCCCCTCTGCAGATCTCTTTCTGGCATGGCCCTGTCCTGCAGACCTCTCATTGTCTCTTTTGGTCTGCACAGCTCCCAGCCGCTCATGGCCATGGTGTCCTTGTGCCTGCAAGGGGGGAAACGGGGAATCATTTTCAAGAAAATGTTACCTTAAACATGTGTAAATAACCCAGTGGTAAATAACCCAGTGTAAATAACCCAGTGGTGTAAATTCTATCACAGGGAAAGAAAAACAGCTGTTTTTTTCATAAGCATTATATTAGAAAGAAATAAAATAAGAATTGGTTGTCTATATTAACAAGAGGCACATTTTGATATACCTAGGAAGACCCTAGTTTATGTCTGCTATAACCAAGTAGCAACTAGCCTGCTTTACCCCCCCCAACAAAACAGCACCAGTGGCCATCTATACTGTAGCATCCCGTACTCCACAAGAATGCTGTGTATGCATCCAACATCGGATGATGTGGGTTCATAAATCTTGCAGCTGACAAACTATTTAATAGGTAGTTACCCAAGCAACAGCGATTTGAAAACACTCAGGAATCCCCTTGGGTCTTACCAAGACCACAGCCAGCAAAGTCCTACTGCACACTGCTGTGCGTTTATCTCCTCCAAGGTAGCATTCAAAATTTTCTAGCCTTTTTCATGGCTTTTAGAAGTCTGATCTTGAAGCATCGTTGCATTATACTTGTTGCTTTCACATCTCCTGTCACATGCTGTTCTGATGTTTAGGGTACAGCCTCACAGTTAAGATCATCTGCTGTTTCTGGTTTGGGCCAGATATGGCATATTGACTTTTTTTTTTTCTCCCTTTTATTAATTACTGTTTGTTTTTTTATTGCAATTTACTTCTTGGAAATAGGAATTGATAAAAGCCCCATGACTGAAATGCGAGTTTCCAACATCATTTCCATTTGTTTGGTTGGTGGGACATTTGTATTTGTGTCAGGTCTCCTCTGTTGCATCTTGTTTATCAGATCTCCCCTTCCTGATTACAAATATACATCATGTGTGCTGTAATGGACCTTGACAGCATTTTCCTTTACACCGCCAGACTTCTGCCATTCCTGTTGAATTTTATTATCATTCCAGGTATTGAAAGAAAACTTCTAGGAGATGCTGACCTTCCAGACAGGATTATGCCATGTGTACCTATAGATCTCTTGCTGCCTTTACAATGCAGATTTCAGCTAGCATGCCCTCTGCAGCCTACTCTTGTACAGAGCAGTACAAAGTACAGCATACACTGTAAATGTTCTAGTGCATAATCATCACATAATTTCTATTTTAAAAAGTCTATCATCCCTCCCTTCTTCAGCGTGTAGTCTTAATTCTCATTATCTTTCTCCGTGTCTCACGCAGTTGTTGAGCCTACTGTCTGGCTCCACCACAAATTTCATCAAGGCCCATTCCTTACACTTGAGTTTAACTGCAGCTTTCTCCATATTCAATTTAATTCCAATGCAAAGAAGGCCCAAAAGCTAAGCATTTCAACATTTCAGACAAGTTAATTTATCCATCTTTTTTTTGTCATGAAAGATCCCATTGTCTCTGTCACATGGCATGTAAGGTTCTTAAGAAATTATGCATATTTGTAGGTTTTTGGCAGTCTTCTGAAGCATTCATATGCATGGATTTTTTCCTTCTGTGTTATTTCAGATGTAACTATTTATAAGGGAGAATTTTGCTGAGTATAATTCAGCAGCATTAGGAATAACGTTTATGATTACAGAACCACTTTTTTAACAAAGTGAAACTGCACGGATATATTCATATATTCAGTGGCTTTTAAGCACCAGGAATAATTATTTGTCAATTGAAACAAATCTTCCAGATAGCAGCAAAACACCTTAATCGGTATGATCTCTTTGCTGAAGTTTCAGAAGAACTCAAAAGTAACCATGAGGGCTAATTCCACACAGACATCAAAGTCAGGCCACTAAGATATTTGTCATGATTGTTGTGCCACTAGAAATCGCATACCAACACCTGCTGCCTTTTCTGGACCAAAAAGCAACTTGGCCAGGTACACAGAAGCAGACTTGAGACTTATTAGTTTCTGTTATCCAGGTTTTTAAGGACCTGTGCTTAAACAGTGTAATTTCCCTCCTGCAAATCACTTTAAAACATGCTTCTCCATCACTGCTTCCTCTTCCATCGCCCTCCATTCAGAACCCAAACAGCTAGGAGCAACAGCTCGGTGCAGCGACTACCTCTGGCAGTGTTAGCGCAGTTCTCGATACACCTGGTAGGTCAGCAGTCCACCACACTGGCAATGAATGCAGATGAAAACAAAAACCTGCAGAGTTAAAAGGATCCTACCCAGTCTGAGTTAAGAAATCAGTCTCTTTTATAAGGGATCCTCAGACTGACCAGAAACCATTTGTTGTGTGCATGGCTTCCAGCCAGAGAATTGCTTGCCAGCACGATGAGATGCTGCCATATATCACAGAAATACTTGGAAAGAGCTCTGGTAGTAACAATTTATGATATAGTCCAACTACCGCCTCTTCCCTACATTATATCAATCTGATCTTGAAGTCTGACTATTTAAATAACAATCACATATGAAAGCACAAAGGCAATACCAGCCCTTGGATCTGCAGCAATGAAGTGTCCTAAGGATTCTTAACAGGCCTATACTAAAAGACACATAATCCAAGTCAATAGGAAATACCAGGGGATAACCTGGAAGCTATCCTTTGCATGATTTTACCAGCTTTTAACGTAAAGACATAGAAAGCAGCTCACATGAAAAGTTTCTTGCGCAAGAGTTATTCTTAGCACATTTCTGGAAAGCATTATGCTCGCTGCAATTTAGATTCTTTGCTTTGATTGCTTGTTGTATTTAGTTGTACCAAATAATTAGGATGCACACAGTAAAATGTGCTACATTTAATTTGTGGCAAATAATAAAACTGGAACCATAATCAGCATTTCCTTTTTCAAGACAAAACATTACGCTGAACTTAATTTTACAGCTGTACAAATTGTTTTAAAGTAATCTGCTCAATTGGGCAAGTTAATGATGTTTAATTTGACCAGGCCAAACTTTACATGCTGTGCATTACTGTGAGCGATTGCGGTCAATACAACTGTTTGTGCAATGCAAATGCAATGCTAACACCTCCCCTTCTCAGCTGGCTCAACAAAAAAAAACTGGTGTCATCGCCCCCCTAAGATAAACCAAAGATGACAGCATAATAAGTGTTACGTGCACAAGGTAATTCAGAAGGAATTTAGCCTTTTCAATCGATTCTGCACTCAAGTTAACCCTCTTTATTATTGCCCAGCTTCTTGCTGCAAGCGAAACATTAAGCATGGGCTAAATTCAGTTAGTGCACTGAGTAATGGTGCTCTGCAAGCAGTCCCACTTACTGTAATGGGACTAAACGTGGCAGAGCACGGTGTGAACTAAGTGCTCTCTGATACAAGCAAAGCTACCAGCAGCAGGATGTTTTGTTTAGAGTTTTAAATCATACTCTAGAAGCTGGTGTGGTATAGTGCTCAGGACCTCTGTCTGGATCAGCAATCTGGATCTGGATCAGGAAAGATCTCTCTGCTTGCCAAGGACTTGCAGCTGTAACCCTGATCTGGGTTTTGGTGCAATGAACAGGACCTTCACTACTCCTTGGAGATATGAGTGGTCTGTGTTCAAATTCTCACCTCAGCCCCCATCTTCCAGAGTCTGGCATGCCTAGCACTGGTACTTCTGGGTTGGGTCTCTCAGTCGTGTTTAGTAAAGGTCTTCTGCTTTGTGTAAGTGTTCATTCAACCAGGTAATGGAGGTAAGACCTGGGGATGGGAAACGGCCAAGCTACAGAGACAAAAAGTGATTCTGAAAAAGCATCCATGATTGGGTCTTTCTTATTTTTTCCATTGCCTATCTCAGTATGATGTCCAAGCCCACCCTTCAATGCAGGTTTTATTGTGATGATGCTGGGTACTTCTATCACATTTCATCTGAGAAGGTGTTTATCATACACTGGTACACACTGATACCTAGCTCTGTAATTGCGATTCTTCTCCCAACAGTTCTGTAACGAGGTTAAATGATTTAAAAAATAATAATAATAGTAATTAAATTTTTTTAAAAGACAAATTACAGGAGAATCAAGAACTTGTTTTGATTGAGAAAGGACTGAGGGATTTCTAATCTGCAAGAAACAAATGGGATGCCGGTCTGTACTTTAGCTAAAAGAGTGAGCCCAGTGAAATCTACCAATTAAAACAAAAAGCAGAGCACAGGATTTGTTACATCATTCCTGCGACAAGGGAAAAAGAGATGCATAACATTGCATAAATAGTTCCTAGTACTTGCTGAATGTAAGCTTAAGTGAAGCTGAGCCTTTTAAACTAACAGGACTGACAAAGCTATCCTCCACTTGCTGACTGTTTCTCTCCATGTTCTGCTTTTTTCTCTCCCGTAGGTCAATGGGAAGGATTTATCTAAGGCAACACATGAGCAGGCAGTGGAAGCCTTCAAAACCGCCAAGGAGCCCATCGTGGTGCAGGTCCTGAGGAGAACCCCACGCACCAAGATCTTCACTCCTCATGAGTCCCAGCTGGTCGATGTGGGCACGCAGACCGATATCACTTTTGAACACATCATGGCTCTAAGCAAGATGGGCTCACCTACGCCACCAGTCTCTGTGCTGGACCCGTACCTCCTACCTGAAGAGTAAGTAACAGTTCATGAAGCACTTGAAAATCCTTGCATTCCTTAACGTGGCATGTTAGAAGTAGTGCACAAACTCACCTTTACTTGCTGGTGACCGTGTACTCCCAGAAGTAGCCAGAATCCATACACCACTAAGCCATAACTCAAAGCATTTTCACTTTTTCTACACATTAACCAGCCATTACTCACATGAGTAATGCCACTGAGTCACAACACGGCCTCATAAAGCTCATTTTTTGTTGGCATTTGATGGATAAAGTTATTGCTTCTTGTAATTCCTCTCACTGCCTCTTTGGGTTGCTTATGTTTTAACTTTATTTTTTATGGCTGCCATAAATTGTGTAATGCTAAGAGTCGCTACATTCTGTTCCAGTGTATTAATTACTTTATTATAACCCTGCAGCGATGTTACTCAAATAAAT